TTAATGGTCAGCGGTTCGAAACTACCAGCTGCTCCGCAGGAGAAAGATGAGGCTTTCTACTCCCGTAAGGATTTACACCCTCGGAAACCCTGTACAGGGTCGCTATGGGTCGCAACCGACTCAACGGCACGTAACAACAACAACAAAAGGAGTTCTGGTGTGCCATTATAGGATAAGTACTGGACCATCAGGTCAGTGGTTCAAACCCACCAGCTGCTTCTTGGAAGCCTACAGTGTCATTATGAGTTGGAATCGACAAACAGTAACACAAGTTTGCTGGTTCAGACCCACTCAGCAGTGCCACAGAAGAAAGTCATGGAAATCTGCTTATGTCAAGCTCACAGCTGAGAAAAGCCTACGGCACAGTTCCGCCTGTAACATATGGAGTTGCCACGACTCGAGATCGATTGGTCAGTAATTCAAAAAACCCAATTCAGAATGAAATCTATGTACATGCTGGAATCCTGGTGTGGTGCTGTAGGGTAACCACTGGGCCTCAAGCTTGTTTAAACTGCAAGGTCAGAGGTTCAACCCAACCAGAAACCCTCTACAGGGTCACTATAAGTTGGAACAGACTCAACAACACTTAACAACAACTACATATCTACATGACAAAACAAAACCTTAAAAAAATCAGTCTGGTGATTCAATTCATTCTCTTGTTTTCTGTGACAATTGAAGTATGAAGTACCTGAGGATCAATAAGGGACAACAGATCACACATCTAGAGAGTTCATAGCCACTTTTCACACTCCTTGTACATCTTAGAAACCAACCCTGCTGGTGTAGTGGGTTAGGCATTGGGCTGCTAAATGCAAGGATAGTAGCAGTTCCAACCTTTCAACTACTCTGTGGTGCCAAGATGAGGTTGTGTGTTCCTGTAGAGATTGAGTCTCAGAAACTAAAAGGGGCACTTACTTCTCCTTTGCCCTGTGGGATTGCTATGAGTTGGAATTGACTTGATGGCAGTAGGGGTAGCACGTTTCCAGGTCTCAGGGCCTGCAGGGTCAGGTTCTCTGGGCAAAGACCAGGTAGCCCTTTGTCTTCACATTAGGTGTCCCTGTCCTGGTGTGGTGCTGTAGGATAAGCATTGGACCACAAGGTTGGTTTGAACTGTAAGATCAGCAGTTCAAATTCACCAGCTGCTCCTCAGAAATCTTATAGAGGGTTGCTATGAGTTAGAATTGACTCAGTGGTATTTAACAATAACAGCTACTGCTGTCCTTAAACACTTGATTTTTCATCAAGGGCTTGTTGATGAGTTGCCGTTGAGTCAGTTCCGACTCATGGTGTCCTTGTGTATGGAAGATTGAAACCTTGCTTGATCCTGCGTCATTTTCATGGTTATTGAGGTTTGGGTGAATCTTTCAGAACTCCCAATGGTTAGGCGCCATCTTTGTTCCTGTGATGATGCTGTTCCCCGGGAACGGCAGACACATAAGATAGACAGGACCTGGGCCTGACCCCATATTAGCACTCAGTGATTTTGCTGATACATGAGAGATGCATTTCCATTTGGGCCTAGTGGCAGCAGTTGAAGTGATACCCTAATTTCAGCATTGAGCCCTGAATGGGCGGGAAATGAAGAGGAGGGACAGAAGCAGTACTGCTGGGGTAGTGACCATGTGGTAAAATGTGATCTAGCCACCTTGTTTGCAGATTGAGTGGCAGTACTTTGGCTATCAAGGAGCTCTGGTAGTGTAGTGGTTACAAATCAGGCTGCGAACTGCAAGGTCAGCAGTTCGAAACTACCAGCTGTTCCACGGGAGACAGATGAGGTGTTCTGCTCCTGTAAAGATTTACAGCCTTGGAAACCCTGTGCAGGGTCACTATGAGTTGGAACCGACTCCGTGGCACTTAACAATAACAACTTTGGCTATCACAGTAATTCCAGTTGGTTAAATTGGGAACAGTTCAAGTTTCTTATACTATTATAACTCTGTGTGTGTGTGTGCACTAATGAGGCTGTTTTGATTAGCAACTGACAAGAACCTAAATGACACTGGCTTCAGAAAAAAGGGAGTGACCATCCCATGTACTGGCATAGCCCAGGGCTAGACTGATTGCTGCCAGAGAATCAAATGATATCATAGACTGAAACCTCATTATCTTCAGCTCCCAGTGTCTGCTGTTCATGCAGGTTTGTCCCATGGCCATGAGATTTCCATCAGATCTTTTCAGCAACTCTACTAGGAAACCTTTTCCCAACAAGTATCAGAAATAAGTCTCATTGATTCAAATGGAGACATGACCCAGTCCTGTTAATTCCACTGGTCCCTCATGGACCAGGCCTACATTATGTGTTCCCCTCTGGGTGGGCTCTTATTTTGCTTCAATCTCATAGACTGTGAGCGGGGAAAGGGTGGTCTCAAGGAAATTGAAGGCTAAAACTGATGTGCTAAATTTATAGTATATAAAACACGGAGCAGAGTGCAGGCACGTTATAAACACGAATAAATGTGAACCATCGCTCCTCTCCTCCTGGTCTTCTGATCCTCTTCTGGTCTTTCTGTACACGGGTGCCAGGATAACCCTCCTTGTTTGTGTTCCTTTAAAACTTGGATTTCATTAACCTCCTCTAAACAATAGGTTTTCTTTCTGCCAAAGCCTATAGCTCCATTACAATTTCCTGTAAATCTTCCTGCCTCCTGCCCTCTGCTTCCAGGATCTAACTAAATCTTAATAAATGACAAGGTTACTGAGTACCTAGCTGTAGAGAGCCCTGGAACCTTTCCTGCAGTGATTGTAGCACCTGTAACCATTTTGACATCCTTTTGTATCAGGAAGTCTATTTCACTTGGTATGGCTGTTCAAAGCCTCTAATTTGTCAGCTTGAAAATGACACAGTACTAAACTCCTGTAGTTCAACCTGGACTGTTGTTAGAACTCACAGTGTACAGGGAGGCATACTCAAGGAACTGATGAGACTTAAGCCAAGCACCCAGAGAGACTGTTGTTCCTAGGTCTGGGCTGGAGGTAGGAGATTGAAGGAAAGGATACATGATTCTGGAAGTCAAGAAAGAGTGAGTAAACAAGTGAAGGGTGGTCATGTGGGCCGAATCGGCCGAATCGTGTCAACGGACTTGCAGTCCAGTGGATTACTTCATATGATGTATCTCCCCATAGTCTTTGTAGCTCCCACCAATGTGTTTGCCCTGCTGGGTCTGAGCAAAAGAAGGTGGAAGAAGTTGTTGATAAGATTATATGATTCAGTTGTGAGTGATTAACTCAGGACTTCAGACAGCCAGAACTAGTTGTGATTATGAAAACTTGGAACTCTAACATGTGTGAGTCATCTCAGAAGCAGGAATGGGGGAATCTCACTACCATCACAGAAGTCAGGAGTGGTGTGTGTCTTTTGGACCCCAAGGTCTCTGTGCACTGAAGCTCCTTGTCCCTGGGATAGAGGCTTTGACGCTGGAGTTGTGATAGAGGAGCAGGAGGAGCAAGACCCAGAGTAGACAATAGAGAACGTAGAGTGCCTTCCAGTAGAAGGCTCATTTGTGTTGTGGGGTGCCTCCAGCACTTAACTGAGGAGCTAGTTTTGCTGACCCATGGAGCTAGAGTCAAGTGCCTTTAGGTTGAGCCTTAGAGAGGAGTGGTGTGCCCTGTGAGCATGTATCAGCAGCCCTGAGCTCTCTGTAACACTGCCAGAGCAGGGAAGAGGCTGTCCTAACTGGAAGAACTGTGCCCTGAGCATTTCTGAGCCTGCAACTTCCCTAATAAACCCCATAGCTGTGAGTGTGGCATCTGAGTTCTGTGTGACCAGGGCAATGAATGATCCGTCCCGGGGAGGAGGAGGGAGTACTAGGGTTAGTGTCATTGTTGTTTGGGTTTTTTTTGCAGGACTTCAGACAGCTTGAGTAAGGATGTTTCTAACATGTAGGGAGCTTTGCTTCAGACATAGCTTGGTGATTTTGAGTATTTGATTCCTCTAAGTTACCATGCTCTGATTTTGTGACTTTTAAGCATCCCTCTGGGCAGTATTTGGCTTTATAGGTCAATCTGTCTAAAGCAGGGGTGGGGAACATTTTTCTGCCAAAATTTGTAACATCATTCACGGGCCTTACAAAATTACCAACTTAAAAATTAGCCTGCTATGTTTGGCCAAACGTTTACTTATGTGATGGCTGGAACTGCAGTTGTCTTGGCCGGCCCAGACCTGGTCTAAAGAGAAGGGCTGGCTGTGTGGATTCCTGTATTTTGGTTGCAGTGGCCATTCTGTTTCTTAGCGAAAGTTAATTTGTTGAAACGATCATTTGATACCTCACTTTTAAGAACCTCATTACTGTAAATCTGATCCTGAAAAAGTCACAAAAGCCAGTGCCTGGGTGAGGCAGCTGGTTAGATCCTTGATCAAAGCTAAGTTCTCCAGGGTAAGAAGTGTTCCCTGGCAGGCCTCTTGGGGAATAACCTCTGGGAGTTTCCTCAGGCAAGATTCTCATTCTCTAGGCCAAGTCACTGCCACCATTTTTTACAATAAATCACATCAATGAATATGTAGAGACTTTTAAAGGCTAACACAAATTCACAGTTTTTTTCTTTTTTTTAGATAATACATACATATTTCAGAAAGCTAAAATAAAAATTTGAATACTGTGTCTTCTGTACATTATATTTACATAATGATTCTGACTTTATCTTTCCAAGAACAGTTGCCCAGGTGGAAGGAAAAGCAATGTAGACATGGTCTCAGGGGTTGCATTTCCATTTCAGGGCAGTTTTTCTCCCCCTCCCCTCTATCCCCTTTTCCATTTTTCTTCCCTGCCCTCTTTTGTTTTTACCTGAAGCATATCTGAATAACAAATACAAAAGTAGGTTTGCATGGTCATGCTGACTACCCAAACCACTTAGGTTTGGATGGAGCACTTGGACTTCAGATTTTGTTTCATGAGAAAAACCTGGCACAGAAAGGCAGCATGGACAAGAAGGATTCCTCAACTACAGGAATCCAGAGATGGCAAGTCAAAGCACACACATAAACGACATTTGTCATCTAAGTCATCTGTACAAGGAGGGGATTTGACATGATGGTCTGCCAGGGCCCATCCAGCTAGGTAACTGAATGCCGTTCGGTTTCAGAGCTCACGTTTTCCATGCTGTAAGAACTTGCTCTCTTTGCTAAGGTGAATACACAAATGGAACTCGATCATATTGTCCACCAACTTTGTGATGTAAAAGTTAGTGATGTTGGTAGATGAATGAAGGGCAAATCCTACCACACTTGTAGGATAAATTTGTATTCAATAGATGGGAGTTTATGTATGTTGTAGAACTGTGGTAAGCTAATCTTAACATATGGACCAGACATTCCTTTTGGGCTATAGCATTTCAGAGTTATGTCCAGTGAACCCTTTCTAAAAGCCCCGAGAGTGCATAATCTGCCTCCATGGCATCTCTCCGTTATCCATATTTCCCAGGTAACTTGGACAAGGCAGTTCTGGTCTCACAGAGATTCTGAAACCACAGGGATCTTTTTTTTTTTTTTTTTAAATCAAGAAATTATGAGTCAAGGATCTGAAACCCCAGTGTTACAGGCAAAGCCTCATTTCTGCGGAAAATGAAACATTCTGTTTCTTCCACTTCTAATAACTCGTCGAGGGAAGCAACTACTAAGTCATGATCCTGGAGCATTTCTGGGTAGTGCGACACGGCACGTTCGATCCTCGCTGAGCGCCGGACTGGAGTGATGAGCTTCATGTCTTGCACTTCTGGCATTCCAACTAGTCTGAAAGATAGGCAGCGACAGCAAGAGAGTCATCCAGAACCTTAACACTCTGTGGAAATTCCCATTAATTAAAACACAACAGACATTTCACACAAATGACAGATGTCATTGTGGTGGACAGAAGTGATCTGTGTAGGGCAGCTCTCCTCCTGAGATGGCTTTTCCCCATTCCAGAATGAATTGGGCAGTAGCTGTCTGCTGTTGTATGATGTGGTAAGTGTAGGGAGTCATTGAATGAACTATGGTTTTATTTGAAGCCTACTACTTGGCAGTTAGTGTTTATTTATTCCATAAACTTTCAAGAGTTGGCAGGCTTTGAGTAAATTGGGCCTATCACTAAATTGGGTTGGACTCCTCATGAATTCTAAGATACTTCCTAGCTTGGACAGCAAATTGCTCAAAAGATATATTTAAGATGGTAGATCAAGCTACAGATTCCAACATGTACCCCTGACAGTAAAAACATAGCCTAGAAGACAGGGTGAGAAACCTTTCCGCGTAGTGAGTCAGATCCGTGTGTCACAAAACCACTGATGGGCAGTGCTGCAGGGTCAGCACTGGACTGCTAGCAGCAAGGGTGGAAGTTCAAACCCACCAGTCACTCCTCGGCACTTAATAACAACACAAGCGAAACTAAGAGGAACCCTGGTGTTGAGCTGTGAACCAAAAGGTCAGAGGTTCCAACCTAACAGTCACTGCCACTGCACAGGAGAATGATGAGGCAGTCTGTTTCTGTCAAGATTTACAGCCTTGGAAATGCTACCGAGCAGTTCTGCTCTGCCCTATTGGGTTGTTAGGAGTCGGAATGGACTCAACAGCAGGCGCGGGGGGTGGTATCCCACTGATACAGAGGCTGTTCCTGCTGGGGTCTTCCTGACCAACCCCCTTGCATCCCCACTGGTAGGGCTGGCAGGGAAGGCAAGTCCAGTACAAATGCAGGTGAAGAGAGCAGACTGACCCTTGAAGGAAGGGGAGAGGGAAGCCGTTCTGTCCCCACTCCTTACTCTGGGGCACCCTCCTTACTGAAGCTCGGTCTCATCGGGCGGTGGGGGTGGTGTGTGTGCAGACAAAGGACATGGAGCCTCCCCTCACTTTCAGCCCCGTCTCTTAACTTGAAAGATGGACTAGACTGGCCACAGAAAAGGCAGAAGGTATCAGTGATTGTTTGACTCTGGATCAGAGGAGGAGACATTGAGAACTGGACTTCAGTTAGACCCATGAACACAAAGTATGCTTTAGGGTTTGCTTACTTAGGGATTGGGGCGATCTGTAATTTGATGCCAGGATGATTAGGCTCGCCTGCCTTGGCTACTTGAGGTGTTGCTGTAACCTGCTCCTTCTCAGTTGGAGAAAGACAAGACTTTTCACATTCCATCTTCTTGATCAGCTCTTCAGCAAGTAAAGTGTCAGTGGTAATTGCTGTGTATGAAATGCCAAGAGGAAAGAAAGGTTTAAGCAATTTAATATTTAATCTAAAAATCAATAAAATGAGAGTAGGATGTATACTGATTTCTACTTCTGGTGATACTCTAATAAGGAGTGCTGGTTTTAAGTGGAACTTATAACTAGATTTTCCTTTTAGCTCTTGGCAGTGCCCTACTGTGTCACGCTAGCCTTCTAACCAGTGCTCCAGACAGCCTTTAGCCTTTAGGCCTCCTTGCCACTTAGGAGGAGGGATCCTTATACTCTTGAAACACTTTGAGCACATCTCCATTCTCTACTCACTTTTGAGAGAGCTCCCCTAGAGACTAGTCACTGGCCTTCTATCCTTCACACCGACACCCCTCTTTCCCCAGGATACACACATGGCTATCACCTTGGACAATGGATGGAAAAATGTCTCACAGGAACACAGTTCCCATCATAGCCCAACAGCAAGGAGAAAACTGGTAGGGAGGCAATTAGACAGAAGCAGATAGGTATCATGGCTAGAGGCTGAGACCCAAAGAGAGGTCAGTAAGGCCAACAAATGCTGAGTGCATAAATGCGGAGTCGCTCCTGTTTTCAGTCCTTTGAAGGACTTGTTACCATCAAATATCTGAATTGCAGCAAAATTTCTAACAAGACCCTTATCACTGAGAACAATTATTCTGTGACCCTATTCCTCAAAGTAATGGATTACTAAACTGTAATGTCCAATGATTTGATTGTTTCCTAAAGTTAAATTTATTCTTAAAGGAAAGAGATTTGTCATTTTGTTTTCTAACAGTAGCTTGTTTTCCCTTCTTTGAATTGATATAAAAACTATTATACACAATTACAACATGCCACTTACTGTGCTGGCCACAACATTTATTAAAAGAGTGTCCTTGGAATGTTCTGGCCAATGACAGGAATGGTTAACTAAATGAAGAGCCTGTTTAAGAAGATGGCTATTGAATTTAGATGCACAAGTGTTGGTGGAATTGTTATGACTAAGCATTATGTAACTTAAACCGAGGCCTTTCTTGGTTCTGCCTCAGTCTCTCCTGAGGAGCAGCCCGTTGTCTAGTCCCATGTAGGTCTCCTAGAAGCAGGAGCTCTAGTCGAGGCTGCTCTGGTGCAGACACCTTTGTTGAGCATTAAGCACTACATTACTAGTAAGAAGAGAAATAAATTAGCTGATGACGGTGGTTGTAAGAATCAGTTCATAGAAATCAAGAAATGAGAGGCATTTCAGGGGATGTATCAATCTTTCCATTTTTCCTTGGATGATTTTTCCTTACACAGCTAAAGGGGACACATTTAAACACAAAAATAGCAGTACCTTCTGTGGTTCTGTTTGGGTCTTGCAAAATATTAAGAATAACTTCTCGCAACTCCAGTATTGGCTGGAAGGAAGAAAATACATAAACAATATTAAAAACACAGAAAAAAAGATGTAAGGGACTTCAATATCAAAGGAACTTTGTTTCCTAGTAAAAGTGTTTTTTCTTGTATTTCTTGTCTAACTATAAATAACGCTAATAAAGTTTCAGATTTATAGCTTCACGGGAAAAAGGAAGGAACAGAAAAAATGTTGGTTAGTCATAGGCACATAACTTTAATGAAGAGATTTGCTTATGAAAAACTGTCACTAATAACTCTTCTTAAATTTTCTTTTCCTTAATGATTTGCATAACATTGAAGATGTTCTACCATGGAAAAATTCTGGCCCAATGATGTAAGGCTAGCCATACAGAAAATACATTTTTAGTTTAATTTTTATTATAGAAATTATATACCTCATTACAAAAAAATTGAGAAATACGTTAAATTTCAACCATCCAAAATTTTATCACCCAAATACAACCTTTGTTAGCATTTTGGGCAATTTCTCCTTAGTTTTTCCTTTCCCTTTTTATTTTTTAAATGTACTTACATTTCTCCTCATGATTTAGGGCATAGGTAACATACTTCCTAAGAGGGAAGCTGCCTCAGATAAAGGTTTTATAATTTTGTCTGTTTTTTTTAAGGTGTGTTATGTTACTTTTGTACAGTTATATCTATGAGTCCTGGTGTGGCACTGTAGGATAAGCACTTGCCCATAAGGTCGATTTGAACTATAAGGTCAGAGGTTCAAACTCACCAGGTGCTCCTCGGAAACCCTTTGTTGTTCTTAAGTGCTGTCAAGTTGGTTCCAACTCATAGCGACTCATAGGGTTTCTGAGGAGTGGCTGGTGAGTTTGAACTGCTGACCTTGCAGTTCAAACCAACTTTGCAGTCCAGCGCATTATCCCACAGAGCCACACCAGGACTCTGGGAAACCCTATACAGCGTAACAACAACAATAACAACAACAACAGTTATATCTGGAGGAACATTATAGACCTGAGATTCTATAGCAAATAAATAAGGGATATAAACTGATGAATGTAGCAGAAAACAGTAATAGCCATATATTTCTACACAGAAAAAAAAAAAAGAATTTGCTTTAAGCTTAAGCAAATGGGAATAAGTGTATAGAATGTATTATAAAGAGTCCTAATTGTATAAAACACTTATCAAGTATAGTTTACATTTTATTGACTTTGATGAAGATGGCATATTGAATATTCATTCACTTCTAATCTCTCAAAATTTGACTGAAATGACAATCAAGGGATTTTAACAAGGCAATTACAAAGACTATAAAGAAGAAATAGTGGTGGTTTTTTGGAAGTTGGAATGTAGAAGGAATAGAAGTAACTACCTTGAGAGGGTCAAATGTGAAGTTAGCATGTGGTTGAGAAACAACCTGACTCATACCACTGGGCCTCAGAAAGTCTCAGAAATGAGATGTAGGACTAAAATCAGGAGAACTAGCCAGCATCTGGTAAAAAAAAGCAGTCCAAATTCACCCTCCGTACCTCAACTCCAAGCAGCCAGATGCCTGTGTGCCAACCCCACTCCCTTCAAATTCATCTTAAATGTATTCTCCAAATCAGTCAGTTTATGGGGGACCATCATGTGCAAGATTGAGGATTTCTACCCTTTGCCTATTGAAAAAGGGGATACATGAAATTTCTGTGCTGAAGGTTGAGACTCCCAGCTTTCTTCTTCCCTACAATACTGGCAGCCTGGTTTACAATTCCCAAAAGGACAATGGAAGAGCCTTCTCTCAAGAATCTAACCTAAATTTCTCCAATAGTAAAGACCCATCCATGCGTCCAGAGCCTTTTTCAAAACTGCTAAATATATGTAAACAGCCTAATTTCATTTGCTTCTGAATAAAACCTTGAATGAATAACAGACAACAAAACAGAGGGAGAGACAGAGAGAGGAAACATTGAAGAAACAGACAATGCAGGGAGAAAAAACTACTGTTAATATTTTAGGAGAGGTAAGAGAAGATACTGCAACTAAGAAACAACAGGATATTATATATTAAAAAAAGAAAACAAAATAGGGGTTTTGAAAATATAATAGGAAAAAGCGAAAGCTCAACAGAAAGGTTAGAAGATACATTTTAGGAAGTTCTTTAGAAAGTAGAGCAAAAAACAGATCAAAAATAGGAAAAAAGTCAGAAACTTAGACAGCACGTCTCAGAGGTCCAGTGTCCAGATCGTGAGTTTCTGAAAGACAGCAGAGAAACTGAAGGGAAGGAAATCATCAGTGTCATCACTGGAGGAAATTCTCCAGAACTGAGCGTCCCAACATGGTAGATGAAGCCAGACCATGCCTAAACACACTCTAGTGAAAGTTCAGAGCAGTTGGGGTAAAAGAAAAAAGTCTTGAAAATTACCATAGAGTAAAAACAACCAAACACAAAGGACCAAGAATTAGAGTGACCCAAGTCGATTCTTTACCAAGACGAGGCATCACATTTATCTCCCAAATGCATTCTATTGAAGCCACTGGAGAGTGCATGTGCTCTGCCAAACTAAGAGAATTAACCAAGGATGAGAAAGCTACTCAGGACACAGGGGATCTAACTCCAGAAGGACATAAAGGGAACCCCAGGTCGACAGCTGGTTGAGACGGGATAAAACAGTAACTGTCCTATCTGGTACAGGCCAGTAGTCTCTGGGAGAAAGTTCTCCAAGAAGAAGAAAACAATAGAATATCTGGTGTTTAAAAAATATTGAGGAATTGAGACCATTAGAGACTATTTTGGGAATTAATTAAATGATCAGTACTCAGATAACCAAACAAAACAAGCACAAGACAATAATTAATTTCAAGAAAAGTAGAAAATTGTGAAAGGCAAAGAAAACAATCACAGAATATATTACATGGCTTAATGTATTCATACATTTCTTACATATTCATAATGATGTGAACAATGAATAGTGACCAGGCTTCCATATCATTCCAATGGAAGTATGAAAAATTGCAAAGGCATTCAAGTGTGGTAGAGGTGTAAAATGTGTGTGTGTAGGTTGTTGAGGGTCTTTGCTGGTGTGTGTGAAAGGTGAAGTCCAATTTTCCATGATGGACGTCCCCAAATGATATGTAAAACTCAAAAATTAGAAAGCAGCAACATAAGCATATTATCTGAAACTGCAGTACTAAATATCAAACTGATTTTTCTATGCTATTATATTCCTTAAGTGTGTATTTCTACAGGGAGATTGTGACACACTCACTTGACAGAGAAAACTGATTCTATTGGTTTGCATGTAATACTGTTTTCTACAAAATATTTTCAACTAAAATGTTTATAAAGTACTTACTATACTTCATGAAATGACACTAAGACACTTAGAAGTTAAATACCACATTATGTAACTGCCATATTGCAAATAATAGAGAACCGATATGGAAGATAATTTTTACATCACCCACTCAAGATAGATACTCACTGTTGCCCCATTTCTAATGGCCTCTTCATAAAGCCCAATAACATCAAAGGTGCCTTTACTTGCCAACAGCTTTGCTTTGCAGATCCAGAATTTAGCAAACTTTTCAGCCTCAGGAATACTGGACAATATGGTAAGCACTTCATTAGAAAATACACCCTGGAAAAAGAAAATGACCCAAGGGAATTATTATCATCTCATTGTTAACTTTCATATCTCCTAATATTTATCTTAGCAGAAACCAGTCTGATGATTAATTAAAAAAATTTTTTTCTTACAGTTTTTATTGTGAATTATGTAATAGTTTACATGGCAGAACATTAGCTTTACAGTCATCCTATCGTATATCATTTCATTGCCATGGTTACAATCCCCTCCATGCATCATCAACCAACCAAAGGGTATACCCTGCAAGCCTGCCCCCAGGTCATCAGCACACAGCCCCTCTCCCTCTCTGGGTCTAAAGTCCCCAGCCACTCCATCTCTCCACGTCATTGTCTCTACCTCCATCTCTGACGTCACTGCTTCTCTGGGTAGGGTCCCACACTTCGCTCCTCTCCCTTGATGGTCCCAGGGACCTCTGCTCCTGGACTGCAAAGTCAACCAGTCCCCTCCTTTTGTTACAAAACATCTACCTTTACATTTTCAAACCTCACAGTCAGTCCTGATAGCAATTATTCACTATTGAACCACAAGAGTCCTATCCCCATCTCCTTTCATCAGCCCCGTCCAGGTAGATTGGAAACCACTCAGTGGAAATTCAACCTTCCTCCGCACCCTCCAGAACTAGGTTCACTCTTGAAAGCTTGTAAGCCAGTCACTTCTTCTTGCCTTTGTAGCACCCCCACCCTTTTGGGTAGCCAATGTCTAAGTTGCTCATCTCTGTCAACCCTGTGTACTGAGGGGGGTGGGAATGATTTACTCCCTCTTTTGAGCTACTACATGATAATTAATTTTTGAAATTTTAAAATATTTAAACATTATTGATGTTTACATAATAAAATGTAGCCATTTAATTGTACATTTCAATGAATTTTGACAACGATCATTAAATTTATATAAGGTCAAACATACTGAAAAAATGTGTATCATACTTGGAGGTAAAGAATATGTTCTACATTTTTATTTGTGTGAAAACCAATAGGCAGACAAACCTCCTATAATAATCAATTATCTATACCCAAAAAGGAGCTCAAAATGTTCATTGATTTGATCCCCTTTGGGTTTGTGCCCAGAGCAAGAAAGTGGCATGGACCAGGAGGAATTGGGAGCACCCTGCCCAAGAGTCCATGTACTGGCACACAACCAAGCAGCACCTTCTACTCTTGCCAAGATATAAGAGATTCAAGATTAATCGCAACCAAGAATTACCAATGTTTCAGAAAATGAACCTCACATAAAAAAGGAATAAAACTCAACAAACAGAAGAATTAACACTCGAACAAAGAGTTAAAGGAGCAAAGAAGAATAAACTGTACGAGTGACAAGAGAGAATGGTGCCACCATAAGACTCAAATGGACTGCTAGGCAAAAGAAGTAAGAACAGGGCTGAATAGTGCTGTGGAGACCCCTGAAGAATAAATCAGTGAGCTGAAAATTCAGCAGAGGAATTCTTCCAGAGCCTAGTACAAAAGAACAAAGAAATGAAGACTATGAAAGAAAAGTTACGAGTGCTGGAGGATGCATCTACTACCGAGGAATTCCACTACCCATCTAAGAAAAATATTCAGAGAACCAAGGAGAACACACACCCAAAGCAGTTGCAGAAGAAAATGTATAAGAATAGAACAAAGATACATGCTCAGATTGAAAAGGCCCCCAGAGAGCTAAAGCCAAGCAGCATGAATGAAACATGAACCATACGAAGAAAACAAAGATTAAAAAGAAAATCTTAAAAGTTGCAGAAAAGATTTCCTATAGAGGAAAGCCATCAAATTTTCATACTGTGGTGGTTTGAGTGTTGCTCTGAGGCTGGAAGCTATGCCATTGAGATTTTAAATCACAGCAGGGACACCCACAGTGGGTAGGTTTCAGCAGAGATTCCAGAATAGAACAGACTAGAAAGAAGGAGAGGGAGACTACTTCTGAATATTTAGCCACTGAAAATCTTATCAATAGCAGAGGAACACTGTCAGATGAGTGCCAGAAGATGAGACCCTCAGGTTGGAAGGCACTCAAAACACCACTAAGGAAGAACTGCCTACTCAAAATAGAGTTGACTATAATGATGTGAATAAAGCTTCTAGGACCTTCATTTGCTTATGGGGTACAACTGAGAAGAAACAGCTGCAAACATCCATTAATAATCAGTACAGGGAATGTATGATGTATGAATCTAGGAAAATTAGAAGTTGTCAGAAATGAAATAGTACACATAAAGATGGTTATCCTAGGCTGAAATGGACAGGAATTGGCCATTTTGAATCTGACAATCATGTGGCTTACTGTGCTGGGAACATCAAATCGAAGAGGAATGGCATCACATTTATCTTTTAAAATGTAAGTATCAAGATCTGTCTTGAAGTACAATTCTGTCTGTGACAGAATAATATCTATACGCCTACAAGGAAGACCAGTTAATACAACTATTATTCAAATTTACGCACCAACCACTAAAGCCAGTGATGATGAAATTGAAGAATTTTACCAACTTCTTCAATCTGAAATTTATTAAACATTCAATCAAGGTGTACTGATTATTACTAGTAATTGGAATTGTAAAGGTTGGAAACAAAGAGGAAGGATTGTTGGAAAATATGGCCTTGGTGATACAAGTGATGCTAGATATCACATGATAGAGTTTTGCAAGACTAATGACTAATTTATTGACAACTGCTTTTTAAAATAACATAAAAGATGACTATACACATGGACCTCACTAGATGGAATACACAAAAATCAAATTGACTACATCTGTGGAAACAGACAGTGGAAAAGTTCTATCTCATCAGCCAAAACAAGGACAGACTGTAAACAGACCATCAATTGCTCAGATGTAAGTTCAGGCTGAAGATAAAGAAAATTAAAACAAGTTCATGAGAACCAAAATATGATCTTGAGCAGAACCTACTTGAATTTAAAGGCTATCTCAAGAACAGATTTGATACATTAGACTAGTAATGGAAGACCAGGAGAGCTATGGGATGACATCAAGAACACCATACACGAAGCAAGTAAAAGATCAGTAAAACAACAGGAAAGAAAGATAAAAAATGGATTTTAGAAGAGATTCTGAAACTTCCTCTCCAGCTTAGAGATGCTAAAGTGAATGTAAGAAATGAGGAAGTGAAAGAGCTAAACAGAAAATTTCAAAGGGCAACTTGAGAAGACAAAGTCAAGTATTATAATAAAATGTGTGAAGACATGGAGTTAGAAAACCAAAAGGGAAGAGCACAGCATATCTCAACCTAAAAGAACTGAATAAAACATTCAAGCCTCGACTTGCAATATTGAAGGATTCCATAGGCAAAATATTGAACGATGCAGAAAGCATCAAAGAAGATGGCGGTATATACAGAGTCACTGTACTAAAAAGGAACGGTTGATGTTCAACCATTTCAAGAGTAATATATGATCAAGAACTGATGGTACTGAAGGAAGAAATCTAAGCTGCATTGAACATAATGGCAAAAAACAAGCTTTAGGAATTGACAGAATGTGAATTGAAATTTTTCAACAAACTGATGCAGCCTTGGTGGCCCTCACTCATCTATGGCAAGAAATTTAGAAGACCTGGCCAACTGACTGGAAGAGATCCATATTTGTGCCCATTCCAAAGAGAGGTGACCCAACAGAATGCGGAAATCATCGGGAAGGATTATTAATATCACATTCAAGCTAAATTTTGCTGAAGATAATTAATAAATAGCTGCAACAGTTCATTGACAGGAACTGCCAGAATCTCAAGCCAGATTCAGAAGAGAACATGGAACTAGGGATATCACTGCTGACATCAGATGGATCTTGGCTAAAAGCAGAGAATATCAGAAAGATGTTTACTTGTGCTTTATTGACTGTGGATCACGACAAACCATGGATAACACTGTGAAGAATGGGTATTCCAGAACACTTAATTGTGCTTGTGAGGTACCGTAAATAGACCAAAAGGCAGTTGTTCGAACAGAATAAGGGATGTTGCTGTTAAGTGCCGTCGAGTCGATCCTGACCCATAGTGACCCTGTATAGGGTTTCCATGGAGCAGCTGGTGAGCTTGAACCACCAACCTTGGAGTTCAAATGGCTTTCCAGTCTGGCGCATTAACCCACAGCGCCACACCAGCACTATATAGAACAAGGGATAGTGGATGCTTTAAAGTCAAGAAAGGTGTGTGTGCCAGGGTTATGTCCTTTCACCATACTTACTCAATCTATATGCTGAGCAAATAATCTGAGAAACTGGATTATAAGAAGAATGTGTCATTAGGATTGGAGGAAGACTCATTAATAACTTGCAATATGAAAATGATACAACCTTGCTTACTGAATGTGAAAAGGACATAATTTATGATGAAGATTAATGACTACAGCCTTCAGTATGGATTGTACCTCAATGTAAATAAAACAAAAACCTTTTAACTGGATGCTATAAATAACATCATGATAGACGGAGAAAATATTGAAGTTGTCAAAGACTTCGTTTTGCTTGAATCCACAATTAACACTCAAGAAAGCAGCAATCAGGAAATCAAACAATGTAACTGCCACACAAGACCTCTTTAAAGTGTTCAAAAGCAAAGATGTCAGTTTGAGGCCTAAGGTGCGCCTGACCCAAACCATGGTATTTTCAAAGACCTCATATGCATGTGACAGTTGGACAGTAAATAAAGAAGACTGTAGAAGAATTGATGCATTTGAGTTGTGGTGTTGGAAGAAAATATTGAAAGTACATGGACTGGCAGAAAAACAAACAAATCTGTGTCGGCAGAAATACAACTAGAATGCTCATTAGAAACCAGGAGAGTGAGATTTCATCTCTTATATATTGGACATATTATCAGGAGGGATAAGTCCATAGAGAAGGACATCATGTTTGGTAAAGTGGAGGGTCAGCAAAAAAGAGGAAGACCCCCAACAAGATGGGCTGACACAGTGGCAGCAGCAATGGGCTCAAGCATAACAATTCGATGATGATGTAAGATAGGGCGGTACTTCCTTCTGCTG